AGATGAATAAAAGAAATTCGACATACGATCAGGAATTCAGGACAATCTCATTCACATATTTCATTCGTTCCATAAATTTCAATTAATTTCATTTGATTTGAATAGGGGAGAGAAGAAAGGTATGAATCTTTAAAAATATCACACCAATTTTTAATTTCAAATAAAAATTACAAAAGAATTTGCAAAATGAAAAAATTTTCCTCCAATTTACCAACAATTAAATTGTTGTCGCAATTTTGTAAACAATTTTATAACATTGGGAAAAATCAAGAAAAATTTGAAATTTAGAGAGGAAGAAAAAATGAATCGTTCTACAACAAAGAAAAGAATTATTTGAGCTGTGCAAAAGTGTCTCTGCCACCGCGAATATCCGTGTGGTTGCTATTCAACTGAATCATTTTTTGTACAGGAAAAATTTTATTTTATTCCTAATCATTGGTACAGTGGTTCATTATTTAATTTAAGAATTGCAAATTGTTTTCAACTTTAACGATTGAATTGTAATATTTTAATGTCTGAAAATTTAGCATTTTTGGAAGAAGAAATTTTTACAATTTCGAATCGGAAATTTGGAAAATTTCAAGAAATTTATAGAAAAGGAAAACAGTTGAACAGCGAAGGTCTTCACATGAAAACCTTTCGAGATCAGAGACTGTTCTCGATGGCAGAGGCACAAAAATTAGTTTTCTAGTCAAGGACAAAAAAGAGAAAATTAAAGCAAATGACAAGTTTCTTTTCCTGATACATATTTTGGTTATTCAAAATATGCTTAACACTGTATTATATCTTAAATTTTTACGGCCTTTTTTTAGAATTGTTTGCAAAAAAATGCTTCGTCCTTCAGATTCCTCTTTTTTCTTTTACGATAGAATTAAATAAAATTCATTTTTGAATCTATCAAATTTCATAAACTTGACCAATTATCAATATCTATTTCCAAGAATTAAAAAAGCTATTGTTGAAATTTGAAGTTTTACTGGTTGAATTATTTTTAAAGCCTGTTCAACAAACAAACTGATGAGAAGAAGGAAAGGAGGCGCTTCTAAATATCATCGTATCATCCACTCATCGATCGCAGCGTTTTAAGAACAAAAAAAAGATGGACGAAATTCTGGAAAGCTTTAGGAGAATTATACCATCTTCCAGAATGTATTTTTCACGAATTAAGCCACATCAAAATGGACTCGCCAAAAGTATGTCTGAAAATAATATACCATATTTGTAGAATTTTCTCTCTTTTTCAAGATACCAATTAGTTTCATTGTAAGTGATTATGCTCAATGTTGTAAAAGATGGAATGTTGAACTTTGACTTAAATCAAATAATCATTAACTTTCGCCAATTCAAATATACGTAAATTGCGTAATTCTAAATCCATTGCGTCCAAAAAAAAGTTGGAATATAAGAGTGAGTTAGTTGGTATCAAATAAAATTTTTTAAACAATAACTAACTCTTAAAGTTCACCGCTATTATTTACTCATCATCAGGAGAGGATTGTCTGGTTCCGGTACCATTTTCAATTGCATTGCTAACATTACCAGATTCGTTTTTAGCTATAGTCTCTGGATATTTCATTACAGACTGCGTCGTTTTCAAGCAATTTGCGGTTGATGTTGATTGTACTGCTGCCAAGGCAGCGGCACCCAACAAATTCCGGTTTAAATTTTTCTTTCCTATAAAATTATAAAAGTTATAAAAGTTAAGATGGATAACTGTAAAATGAAAATGGTGAAACAGTAACACAAGAATTAAACTTTATTGTTTAACACGGAATACGCTTATTACGCCATTTTAAGCAAATGATTTTCGTAAAGGATATAACCAAAATTAATTTCAAAAATTCATAATTCATTTAAAGAGGATTTACGTTATGCAATGCTCGAATAATGTGCTATTTAATATCATATCAGAATTTCAAATTTTTGCATTATTCGCAATTTATGATAAATTAATTTCTAGCTATGAATTTAGAACCTTAACATAATAAAATTTTAAACCCTTTCAATTTGCATATCTCATTATTTGCTGGCATTGTTATCTTTTGTTGCGATATGACGAAGAATCAAGTTGTTACATAGCACCTCCCGCCATTATCAATTAAAACGAAGTGAAATTATGATAATAAAATGTGTTAGATTCGATCTATCAGTTCTATCAGCTAATGAAATAAGAAAAGATAATTTATGAAGAAGTTTTAAGTATAAAGGAAGAAACGAATTGAAAGCTAAGAAATTGATTATTATTATTATTATTATTATTATTTCGATTTATCAATTCTTAGATATTTATTGCTAATTTTTAAGTATTAATTTTATCAAACAAAAAGAATTAACAAAATCCGAAACTATTTGTTTATTAATTACCACTATTGATAATGCATTTTATCGATAATGAAATGAGAAAGAGCCATAGGAATAAATGTGAACAACTTCTCTTAGTTCTTAAAATTCTTTCATATTTTTTTACGGATGAAAAATTACATAGAAAATTTTAGCACTTTAATTTTCGTTCTTTATTTATTCTTTTATCACTTTCTCTTATCAGTCAGTTCAAATTAAAATGCAAACCATACATACTTTACACTATCCAACTTCGCTATATTTTATATGCTAACATAGTAAAAATTTTTCTTTTAACTATAATAATCATATTAAAAGGAATTAATAGTAATAAAGATATCCTTTGTTATGATACGTTGGAAATGTTAGCAAAATTGATGAAGGAGAAGTAGGAAAGAATTTAAAAATTCTTTTCCATTACTTCAATTAGTAGAAATTAAATTTCGAAAAAAATGGTGGCTAACATTTGAAAGGTTTTGTCGAACATTGAGGAATGAAATGAAATGAGAGAAAGAATGAAAGAAATGATAAATGATTGCCACTTAACATAACCAGTAAATGTTAGAATAGAAGCAAAAAATAAATAATGTTGAAAAATATTTCTTATTCCAACGTTTTTTTCGACAGGCGGTAAAAATTTACTTTTCATTGTGATAAGACCATTTACGCAATAAATGTGAATTTTTATTACTAATAAAATTAAAAGTGGCAACTTTTAAATCGTTGAATAAACTTTAAAATATATTAGTGACAGCTTTCAAATATAATAGTAACAGCTTTGAAATAGTAAGCTTTTTCTCATTAGCAAATATTACTTAAAGATTTTATTTTAGAGATGATAAAAATGATTTTTCTTTGGTGGAATTCAGAAATTAATATGAAAGCTCAGAAATGCTAAAAAGAAAAGTGCTTGTTGATTATTATTGGCAGTAGCTCACTGATATTTTTCAACTAATTGAATTTTGTTAAAAGATTTATCCTACCAGTTGCTATTATTATATTCATATTATCGATGCACCAAAAAAAAGGCTCAGAAAACATGAAATTTTTGCAAATTTCAACTATCGGATGGAAATGACAGCTATTCAATATAATAGGAAGCAATGATATACATTGAAGAGAGGTAAGAAGAAAGAACTGACAAATGCAATAATCAATAATAGTTTTGCATTTTTATCAAATCAAATAGGATTGGCATAAAACGTTATCACCAACCTGTCACTATTCAAATTTTAGCAAATTCATTTCATTTCGATTGTTAAATAAATTTTTTAAAAATTAAAAAGAAGCAAATATCGGAGGAATTTCTAATATTCTCTTCCTTTCTTGGAATATCAAACAATTTTTGTCGATGTGTTGAATTGTTTGCTTGTGGTTGAAATTGGAAAATGTTAAGTTTAAAAAAACACTAAAGCAATAAGAACTGGTAAGAGTGAGAAAGAGAGAGAGAAAGAGAAAGAGAAAAGATGAGAAGAAAAAGGAGAAATAGATAAAAGCAAGAAGGACGTTTAAAATTAATCAAAAGAAAAATGAGTCAAAAATAAGTCATTCAATTCAGTTCAAATTTCTATTAATTACATCAAAGAGTGAAAAATGATTTGAGGAGAAAATATCCGATCCATTTGGTACGCATTAGCCATTATTAATTCTCTAACTAAAATTTGATGAAGCTTTAGTTTTTTCCCTTCACACATTACTTCCGGATCTAGCAATTTTCCCGAAGAAAAATTTTTGATCAATCCGGAAATAATTGTTATGATTCAATGAAAAGTATTCATTGAAGTTTTTCTCAAATGAGATTGTTTTTCGGAATTATTAGATATTTTTGAAGCATTTATTTCATGAATCAGAATATTGCATGACATTGTTGAAATTTTGTCCATTCGAACTTATGAAATTTGACAGATGAAATGGAGAGAGAAATGGAATTGATATATACTGATCACATACATAGAAAGAGAGAGAGAGAGAGAAAGAAAGAAAGAGAAATAACCGATAATACATCGAAACTTCCAACCTTTCCAATGAGAATTGAAGGGAAAGGAGTGGGACAACTGGATCAAAGTATTTCAGAATGGAGTTAACGGCTTCAATACCGCTGATTAAAAGAATTAGTTGTGCATGGATGGCATAGTTGGGAGTGTGTACGTATGTGTGTGTGTGTGTGTGTGTGCGTATGTGTGTGTGTGTGTGGTGTGTGTGTGTGTTTGTATGTGTGCGCCTGTATCGATGGGTATATATACATATACGTGCGCGTATGTACGTATTTACTTTAAATGATTTAAAAAATTCTTTTCAAAAAAAAGAAGGAATGCTCTAATTGTTAAAATGAGCTGAGCTGAAGTGGTTCAAAAACTGGACAGTGGCAAAAGATGCCAGCCAAAAAAATTAGACAAATTAGATAGACAAAAGTTTGACATAAATCGATACACACATACATATATTATTATTTATATATACATAAACATGTATATAATTAACATTAAGATATATTTCGACATACATTAACATGCATATGAATATTATAATACACAGACACACACACACACATACACACACACACATACACACATATACACATATATTTATAGAAAAGTTATTGTATTTGTTGGATGGCAAAGGAATGTGTGTAACTTTCTGTGTCTTATTGAAGTGCTCTTTTAAAAGAGTTGCAAAAAAAAGCGCTGATCAGTTTTAGAACAGTTGAAATTGTCATCGTTGTCGTCGTCGTCGCGGCGACCACCACGACGACCACCGCCTGTGTCGTTCGTCGCTCCGTTCCACTCAACCATATGTTATTTTTTTTTTATTCAAAAATGAATTTTACATCAGTACATTGTATGCTGATTGCCATTGTTGGTGAATCAAAATATTAAACAGGTAGGTCGATAATCAGACTTTTAAATATTATTCAACCAACCAAATAAACAATATAAAAGATCCTCGCAATTTGCTTAGTGATGATGGGAATGATATTGTTTCCATGCTATGCTTTCATATCATAATTGATTACCTTTTCTTTCCTCTTCTCTCTCTCTCTTTTTAACTAACGAAATATATTCAGACGGGAGAGTTTGAAGTAAAAAATTTCATACAAATTAAATTATATCATTATATATTAAATGAACTAAATATGTAAAAATTTTGCGAGCTTAAAACAAAGAAACAAACCGCAAATCGAATCGAAAAATTCCACTGTTTGCAGCACTGTTGTATAAACAATATATACAGCAATTTTTCTGAAATAATTTTTCATTTTTGTATTTTCATATAAAAAGTATTTTCTCTGCTCACAACGAATATGAAATTGATAATAAAAGTATGAACTTATAAGAGATAAGCAAATGAAACAAAAGAATACTAGTTATCGCTGTTAATATATATGATAAATTATCACATTAATATTAGCAAGTAACAGTTTGATACGTTCAATTTCTAACCAATTACTCATATTCTAGCAGGTCGCTTGGATACAATAATTAGGTGTACATAGTAATGTAGTAAGTCAACAAAAGCTTGCAGTATATTTTATTAAATACTACAAGTATTCTTGAATCCATCATATTAATACCAAATCGACGGATGACCGATTTTGTTTTTCGGTTTTTTTCCCTACCGTATACATAACAGAATGTAATCCAACAAAATATACAATAGAAAAATATAATGAGAACCTTAGAAAGTGTGTTCGTACAGTAAAGAGTGTTTCACAAAGTGTAATTTCATCGCGAATTGATTGAGTCGTACAACTGATCAAATCAACAACCGGCTCGGATACAGCTCCAACTGAAACACCTCTAATGAAATGTGTCTTTCAATATGTTTTTTTTTTCTTTGTAATTTCAACCTGTCAGCTGTAAAACATATTTTTCAATTTACTTGCATTTATGATTATGCATCTGTTTAGTAATACAACAAATATTATTTCATGCGATCAATTATCGGAAAATTTGCCAGTGTAGATTTCACATTCATAATATATTTAAAACCTAACAGATATAAAATATAAAATCAAAAATTTAGTTATGACATGTTATTTATTCTATTTCTAAGCGTTTTGCATACATGAATTTAGGATATTTAAAAAATATTTCAAACAATATTTGAAGTGAGAGAAAAGTTTATGGGTGGACGGATCATTTATGGTAATTCAATAGGTAACGAATTTTTGAGTGAAACAAATCAAATGAATATAATATATGAAGTTCTATTTATTAAGTAATTACTTTTTATTTAAATGAAAATTTAACTCCCAACAACTAATATTAACAAACGGCTACCAATAATTAATTAATACAATAAACATTATTATTAAAATCTCGTAGTATCATTTCAAATTTCATAAAAAATTTTGAAATTATTTCCTAACGATTATTATTACATAACGTTGTAGGATTTGCAGATTTTATAAAATAAAATTGTTAAAAAAAGAATTTGAATAAACTAAAATAAAAATGAAAATGACTCATTCAAAATAATTCATCTACTATAGCACTTCATTAAAGATGAAAAGATCGGATGAAAATGAAACCTTTGATAGCATGTACATGGGAATGTAGAATAAGCGGTCGACCACCTTCTAGCATTAAACTGTCATAAACATCATTGCCAGCATTACTCGATAGAAAACCATCAAAAGTGGAAGTGGCAAAATGCGATTCACCACTACTACCACTAGCGCCACCACTATTACCACCATTTGTTTGTGTATTATTACTGGTAGCACTACCACCACCGCTACTACTACTACCACTACTCATTCCTAGAAATATTTCAATCTTTTTTTCATTTTTTTTAAACATCACATCTTTTGTTTACAGTAATTTTCTTTTTCAAATATTGAAAATATATGGAACGAACCAATCAGAGAGAGAGAGAGTTTATTCAACTTTTTGATTATAATAATATCAAAAAGGAATGCCAATTTTTTGCATGTAATAAGCGCACTTATACCATCTCATCCAACAAAAAAATGTTATCTTGTAGGCTTGTGACAACTTTATTAAATTCAAATAACGAAAGGTATATGCAAGGCTTTAATTCTGTTGTTAGCAAAGGCCTGGCAGAAAGGACCATGACAAAAAATGCTATCATTATTTGATTAACTCGATGGATTTAATAGTGTGAGGATAAGATATATAGCAAATGAAGAACGAAAATTCTTTATGCTTTGATAGTTATTCTTTATTTGAAATATTTGTTCCTCATTTTCATTTATTAAAAATGAAGAAAACCGGTTTTCTATAAAACCTAAAAAATGAAAAAAACATAATTCCGGTTTACCTGAATGATGACTGCTGATGATGCGATCTGAACTAATGTAGCTGCTATAGTGATTCGTAGAAATATGAGAAGTATTGCTGCCCTGTGTTAATCGTCCTTTTGGTTCCTCTTCTAATATCACTTCCGAATTTGTTGCTTCCATATTATTTAGTTCTGTGCAGTAAAAAAAGTTCACATGAACTAATAAACTTTCAAATATTAATTGTTTAAATGATTTATTAATTACTAATTATCATTTTGTGTGGCGAAAAAAATTGATCATTAAAAATAACTTAATCATTAATGCCTTTATGATGCAAAAACACCTATTAACACAATCATAATGTGTTTCAAAAAGAAATTAATTGCTTAATTTTTATGTACAAACAAACATTTACATAATTTCATGTCATTTCAATGGTATCAATTCGTTTCAAATTTCAAATTAAGTATCAAATCATGCCTTATTTATCTGTTAGGCTATACGCTTTGAATTGCTAATTTTAAGTGATAAGACCTGTTTAAAAAAATATTTGAGATATGTTTTTGATCATTGAAGTATTCAAAAGGTATAGTTTGTTGATGAATTCTTATCATATTTGTTATATAAAAAACCAAAGAAAAATGAATTTGAGAAGCTAAGATGACATTTTGTATAAAATAAGCAAAATGAATGAAACCTGGATATAATATCCTATTTTTGTTCAATGGTTGCTTATCATTATTACTATCATCCTTCTTCTTCGTTATTGAAACAATAGGTGTTGGACCAAGTTTAATTTTCACCGTAGTAATCGTTCGTTTTGATCCATTTTCATAGATTGATGTAACGTTTTCACTACTGTGACCTTCTGGTCTGAATTATTTATATCTGAATTATTTATATTTATAATCTATCAATTGATACTTTCATTATCATTCTAGTGGAAAATTTCAAAACAAATCAGTGTTATTATAAAATGAAATGGAATAATTTGCACCTGGTTAGATTAGATGAGAAATGTTGATAACAATCAGCACTACTGCTGGCACCACCGCAATCGCCATTCTTATCACTTGTAATGAATGATCTTTCCCCGCCAAAATTATCAGTTATACTTTCGGCTGTTATTTGGGAACTCATTTGCGCTTCTGCTTCTATTGCATCAATGTATGCATACTCATCCTGTAATTTACACTTAATTTTTAGAGTTGCTTAAAAAAATGATAATTTGTAATTTTCCTCAATTTTAAAACAATTTCAAATTATAGATTTCATGTTTATAACTTACAACAATATATTTCTTCATTTTGGATAGTATAAAAAAGTTTTATAAATTGAATTATATAGCTAGCAAGAAAAGCGCATTTCTCAGTAATGTAACGGGAGTGCTGGATCGATCTTACAGGAACTGTATTCCGTTTAATTCAATCAATAATTATATAATCAATGCTTTCTAGCATTTATTCTTATTTAATTGATAATTCCTGGACAAATTCTAGAATCTTATTAATTACTGTTCACTGAGGCGTACAGTTCAGATTTTAATTTTGATATTATCTGATAATAATAGAAAATAGAAAAACATACGATAGTTTGATTGCTAAAACCGCTAAATGATGACAAACATTGTCGAGATTGATTCCGATGTCGCCTTAATGCTAACATTGACCTGTAAGAAAAATGAATGAAATTCCAGACAGGATAGCATCGATAATCGTGTTCAAATTCCAATTATACAAATGTTTGCATACCTAAAAGATGCGCAACATTTTGTGCAAGTTATTCCAGAATCTCTGGAATGTAATTCCATATGCTTCCTCAATTCCATATCAACAGAAAATCGTTGTGGACACATTTCACATTGCAATGGTATTTGTTCCAATTCGTTGTGTTGAGCAATGTGTCGAGTTAGATAACCGCGTGTCGGAAATTGTAATTTGCATTTGCGACATTGGTAGAGCTAAATTGTTGAATGTTAGCGTACATTTCGATAACACTTCCATTATTTGTTAAATTTACATAAAGTTTGTTTTCAGAAAAACCATCAAAAAACCATTAATCAATCAATAAACATTTACAGTGAGAATTAACAATTTATCGAAGTGATAAGTGTTCCTTTGATAAATTCGGCAAATGATCATATCGAATATCTATTGAATGTATAGTCTTACTTTATTTATATATAATATTTCAAACAAAATTGCATCTTTCACCTAAAAGCATAACAATCTTTATCTGATAATTAATCATTTTCACTTATGATTTCACAACTATTACCTTATTCTTATTCTTTTGCAAATAGTTATCGATCACAACTTGCTCCAAATGTCGCTTTGGCGCAATTGCCTCCCTCAATTCAACTTGTTGTTTCACTCTCAATTCTTCTGATGTAATTGCTTCAACTGGGACATCAATTGGTTCAGTGTGCTGTTCAATTGGCGCATTTGGAAGGGCGAAGTTTGGTCGATTACTACAAAGAAAAAAATTTATTCCTTTTATAAAAGTATGGAAATAACCAAATTAATATATTAAATGTAATATAATATATGCATTATTTGTTTACTTTCTTATTTGCAACCAAACATTATATTAAATTAAGCTAAATTTGAATTTAAAAATTTTTTTAAATGAAAAATGAAAGAGTTAAATTGCAATGTTTTGTTTTAAACAGAAGTTAAGAAAAAAAGAATATCACACTGACAATGATCTAAATATTTGTTTTTCATCATTAAAGAAAAAAATCAAACAAACCTTAAAAAATGGCCAAAATCGGTTCGAGCAATCCTTCCCGGTGTTTGCTGTAACGATAATTCTCGTGTGTCGAAGAGATGAGACTGGTTCACTGTTAAACGATACATCAAACGTTTGTTAAATGATCTGCAAACAAAAGGCATAACTTTCTTGAGAAAAAAATAGGAAAGAAATACAGGAAGAAAAACAGGTTGGAAGAAAAAGAAATCAAATTCAACAAAACTAACATATTGCCATTTTTAGTGCGATCTGGGCATTTATGCTGATAAAGATTTGACCGAAATTTATAAGTCTGAAATGAAAAAGGAAATTTTGCAACTTCATTTTCATTAAAAAAACTAATAACCAATAAGAGAAGAGAAAAGAATTGAATTTAAATAAAAATGATAAAGTGAATTTACAACAGTGTAAATTTCATTCTAATAAATTCAATTTCATTATTTGCTTATTGAGAAGGCATACTGAATTTAAAAATGTAAAATAAATTATAAAAATTAAAACGTAAAATTACAATACAAAATTAATCGCATGTAAATTATTGCACGTAATTTTCTAAAGCTCAAAAATTGATGAAATAAAAGATTGAAAATGAAAAATTTGCGATAGAATTGATAATGCAAACGATTGAACAATTTTTTTTCTCTTACCTAAATTCCATTATGATCATATCATCCCGTCCCTTTTCACTTACTATCACACCCCACATACGCCTACATATTTTGTATATCACATTCTTTAATCAATGATAACCTAATACCAATTTAGCCTACTTTTTCATTCTATCACAAAAATTTACGCAAATTTCATCACCTAATCTATTATATCCATTTGATGACATCCTTTAAATTAATCAATTAATTAACTAATTAATTAGTGATAATCTAATTGTGAATTATAAATTGTAAATGAATCATTCTTATTTCAAGTCTATTTGATTTCTTTTTTATCAATATTGGTTTTTGTATATATTACTAATCTAATAAGGTTAAATGTTGAAATGGTCGATTTGAGACATCCAATAAAAAAATAAGTTTACTACAAAATATTTTATGATGAATATAAATGGAAAAATTCAACATTAGATGAAATGAATATTTTTCTCAAAAAAAAGACAAACAGGAATTATTCGAGAAACTATCTTATAGATTAAATTATATAAATAATAAGAATGATAAGGCATAAGTTTGTTTATTCTTATCGTAGATCATTTTTATTGGTGCAAAATAAACCGCCGATTTATTGAAAAATGAAAGGATGAACCTTATAGCAAAATTTGCATCTGAACGGTCGATCATTGGAATGTTTTACGGCATGCTGTTTAAGGTACCATACAGAGTTAAACAATTTGCCGCAATCTTTGCATGCACATTGTTGATTCTTCTCCAAAGTTATATTAACATTGTCCACTTCCGTCGGACAAATTACAACCGGCGGTGGCGGTACAGTCGCTTCCGTTTGTTGACTCTGTAACATTCATTATAAGTAACTATTAATTATTTGATTGTTTTTTTTAATATTTCATAAATATTTTGATAATTTGTCTTTTATGTCAATGAAAATTAATGAAAAAAATATCCTTTCAACAGCTTTTTTTTCACAAATATTTAAATTAATTGGTGAATTTAAACCTTCTTTTTCAAGATTGCGATAGGTATCGAATATTCCGAGTTTGTTACTCATAGAAGAAATTTCAATCTCAAAGTTACTAATAATTACCAACTATTTTTTGAAATGTCTAAACAAAGGTTAAGATTTATCGCAAGAATTCCCTTAAAGAATGCTTATTAAATAAATAATGATAAAATGCTTAAATTTCGCTTTACTAAATTATTTTAATACTAATGGAAAAAAAGGTGTTAAAATGATAAAAGTAAATCAAATTTTAATAATTTGATTTAATAAATTCATCAAATCGTCAGGAAAAATGAAATTACCATTCGAACATCGTTTAAATTTAGATATTGCTGTTCAATTCGCATCATTGTCCCAACCTGATCGATGTTTCTTCGTCGCAATAAAATTTAGCAAATTTCAGTTCAGTGTTTTCGTCGCATCTTTTCTCTATTACCATAAAAACCTCCTGATAAATTTTCATTAAAATGGCGCAAAATGGCGCATACAGAAAAGCGAAATAGCATCACATTGATTTATTGCATTACAGTTGTTGACATAATTCAGATGTACCGCATCTTTCCCTTATTTATGCTTCAAAAGGTTTTGAAAATAATGAAAACAAATCATTCATATGCATTAATAAAATGACTTCAAAAAGTGTAATGTAAAAATTTGAAATTTACAATATTAATATTTCAATTAAAATTAGTTACAGCAAAAGATGAAATTTCCACATTAAAAAACAAAAATGAAACATTTGTAATGAATTTTTATAAAAAAGGATGAAATATTATTTTAATAAATTAAATTTCATCTAAAGGATATCAATCATTTAGATTAATTTGAGTTATTTTAAAAAATTTCATTTATAATTACTGGCTTCGAAATCATTTTTCATTATTATGAAGGAATGATATTTTACAATTTCTTTATTTTTCCTAAACATTTATATAGCACAATAAATATTCAAATATGAAATTATGCAAAAAAGAGAAAAAAAGTCAACAAAATATCATAATGATCGATCAGATCAAGTAATAGAAAATGAAAAACACATCGTCCATTGGATTACTTTTATTAGTAATAGTTTAAAATATTATAAATCTGCAAGTTATTGCAGACGAAAATTAATAAGGAATCATCACGAATGATATTTCAAAACAAATTATGTTTATTATCATTGCACTACTGATAACCGTTGAAATGACCGAAGTTATCACGCCACTTCCCTCTTCCGCCCTTATCATACATTATCAAAGCATAAAAGCTTCCTGGGTTGTATATCCTGAAGGCTTTCTCGAAGTGTTAATGAAATTTATTTTGTAAGTAGTGATTACTTAAATAATGAAAATGTAAAAATCAATTACTACTAATCGATTACACAATCCCTTCTTCATGAAAAATTGACGACATTTTAATCTTCTGTAGAAGAAAATGATTTATGAATGAAATCCTTATGGAAAATTATAGAATGATTAGTGAAATGGTTATAGTAATAAATTTAATAAATCTTAGTCAAGCAGATTAATTCTGAATATAAGTTATACTATAAAATGTGATTAAAATTTTAACTAGAATATTTCAGGTGTTGTATATAAAATTAATCACAAAATTACATACGTTAATATCAATGTTTCTTAATTAACACCTTTGATTTTGTTTTGGAAATAGAAATTTGTGACATATAAAATTAATATGAAACAAAAGATTCTTTCGAATTATTCAAAAATTGAAAGCAATAAGACATTTGAAGATGAAAATTTGATATTTGAGTTAATGGTAATATGATTTATTAAAAATTCCAATATCAAACATTCAATTTTAATCATTCAGATGAAAGTTGCTATATTTAAGTGGAACATGAATTTATCATATTTCCACACTCTGTTAGAGTATCAGTATCGCTTGCATCATGTAAATATTTTAAAATTTCGATGAAAAAAATTTATTGAAATAGGATGCAAGCATTTGAATCTTATATCGTATGATCTGATAAAAAGAAGATATTCAAAAATATTAAATTAAATAAGTTTTTTTGAAATAATATTTATTAGATTCATATGCAACAAATAAATTAATGGCATCATTTTTAAAGTAATATTGAAAGATTTGACTGTCCTTTAAAATCTCTAAATATTTTATCAAAAACGATGAAATAATTGAGCATTCATGCATATTTTCTATTTCTAGAGAACTTAATATTTAAGGAAAAGAAATGAAAAAGAATATGATATGAATTAATGTTTGACAATAATTTATATTTAAGAGAGAAGCAAAGGAAATGAGGAGAGAGTGAATCCGGATAATTTCTGGTTTACGGCACAAAAATGAAAGATATATTTCCATTTTTCAACCTAACATTGTTCTTGCATTTAATAAGATATTAGATGTTAGAATTATCCGAACATGTAATACAGGAAAATGTAATAAATTTCGAATAAAGTGAATCTTGTGAAGGACATTTATGATATCTAATGATTTAACCATTCTTTTTAATCTATCCGACTGATTAAGTTGTCATTTATTTATTCATTTATTACAACATTATAAGAAGATATTTTGCATCCTGAGATCATATCAATGATAAAGAACTTATGATCCAATCATTCAAATCAATCGTTGAATGATAATAACATTTTTGGAATGAAAAGCGCTTTAGTTTATGCCACAAAATATTATAACAAATAGTATCCTATCTTTTTAAGTTGAACTCTGATTCGATTTGGAAACATTGTGAAATGATTTCTAAAATTAATAATACATAGAATGGTACTTGCAGTATGGTCAATGATGGATTAATCAAATTAACACAGCAAAAAGTAACGAAAATTACATACTCCATAAAAGAGCACAAAAATTATTCTAAACCTAAATTTTAATACATTTCAGTTTTAAAAAATATTCGAGAAATTAAATGGATTATAGTAATATTTAATAGGAAGAGTTTGCTTTAATAGTAAAAAATTTAAACTTTATAGCCTAATCTTAAATAAATAAAAAATAATAGTTATCGTTTATAATTTGTAACTTCAATCTTATCAATTGTTTAGCCATAAAGAGATTCATCACTATTTATAGATAATTTTTGATGAAATTTAATCCTACCCTAGCAATGATAAGGTTATCTGAGGTCATTGGTAAGGAATGAATAAAGTAGACGGTTATTTTTGGAGGACATTTGAGGGTAAGCAAAGTAAAGACAAATCTTAGGACAGACCACAAAATGAAATTAGTGATAGATCCGATCACTGATAAGCTCTCACTTCCCTAACGAATTTACTCGATCGACAAAAGGGCATCTCAATTACAGTCCATGCAGACATAAATGCGCATTCCATTGCAATTACCCATTGCTATACATAATCCTTTCACTATACCTTCTTGACGAAGATTACAGTAAAGAAATAACTAATTATTGATGAATGAAGTACGATGCTATCTGATTTGGGTAAGAAATGTAATGAGGAGGAGAAGGTTAAATAAGTTGTTATCAAGATGTTACCTTCAAAACAATCAATCACCTACCTCTTTATATCAATCAATCTATGATAAGATCAAAATCTAAATTGGCCATTTCTTAAATACTCCTTTTGAGTAAAAATCAAAGAAAAAAGAAAGCTAATAAAATATGTTAAAATAACAAATAAAGGTGAAAAGTGAAAATTTAATGAAAATTTTGTCAGATAAAATTGCTTCAATATTAACAAAAAAAAGAAAAATATCAATGGAAGAAAGTACTTCAACTAAGCCAAATGCGGCCAAATATGTTTGAGGACAGTATAAAGAGCCTAATCAATTTAGGATTCATTCCAAAAAGCTTTATGACTATTTCAAGCTTTTACTTACCAAACAGGAAGGCAATGAATCTATTTCACTTTTCCTTTGCTTCCTTATTGCTTACAACTTTTGCTTCGTTTTTTTAAAACTTGTTTAAAATCCAATGTTTCACAGCAAAATTGTCCTCACACTTTTCAACTGTTTCATCCATTTCACTCTAACTAATATAATTAAATTTCACGTAACACTTCCAGACATTTACTTTTACTTCCACTTTAATCATTTTACCTTTCACGTGGAAATTACAAATAACAGTTAGAAGTTAGGAATTTTAAGGAGTTGTCCAGTTAATAATTAATTAAATGAATGAAAAAAAATCTGCTGAAATAGTAAGAGAAAAGTTAATGAAAAGTTTGAAGTAAAAAGAAAATGAGCGATTACCAAAAGATACTCACTCTTTTCAAGAAAGTTAAAATTAAAAACTTGAAAAAATTTGAACACTTTGATTGCTATCAAAAAAACAGAACATTTTAAGTTTTCTTTGATTGCTTAAAAATTGTAAACATACCCAAAATCGTATATCATATAAATGGTTGCTTTTCATTTTTTAAGTACTCTCAGCTTAAATATTAAACAAAATAGAAATTTCGCTATTCCCAAATGATGGAAGCAATAAAAAGAAGCATTATAGTGTGTGTGTGTGTGTGTGTGTGTATTTTATAGAGGAATGAAATCATCATTCATCTTAGCTTACTTTTAAAAACGGTATTCCTGATGAAAGACCGGAGAGGAACTGGATCGACGATACATTCGATTTCTTTCATTTATCATCTGTCCCATTATGAATTATCACAACCGTAGTAATGAAAGAATTGCTATCTATACTCCTTTTTTTCTGCAATCTTACAAAACGACATTTTTTTCCATTTAAATTCCTAAGCAAAAAATTTTGTCTTTTTGAAAAACTTTTGAAAAATTTTTCCGGCGACACAAAAACTGGTTGTTTATCAATTTGAAAAATTTTTCCGGCGACACAAAAACTGGTTGTTTATCAATCCAGAATTTCCGAGGAAAAAATCGGAAAGAGCTAAAATTTCTTTCCTTATACTTTGATATAATAAATTTGTAATGCTTTTTCCTATAGATAGATTATCAGCCACTAAATTCATTAAAATTTGCAATATTTCAATAAAAAAATTGAAATTTGTTTTTTTGCTGGACAATTAATTTTCTATTTATTTTATCATTCAAATTTCTTGAACCGAATATTTTTGCCAAGGCTATATTTATTCAGTTTTTAGGTATAATATTTAGGAAAGAGAAGAAAAATTAGATAGCAATGGAAAACATCGATACAACAAATATTATACTTGAAAAATTCATTATCGGAATTGTTGAATTGAATCTCTTCATTTCATCTTAAATCGTTATTCATAAAGTAACTAATCAAAAGACTGTTTACATTTTTATATTGTTGATATTAGTACGAATCGAAGATTCTATTAAATGTTTTTTCGATGATATTGAGATATTTAAGAAGAAAAGAAAAAAGATTCTAGAAATTTATTCTTAAAGAGATTGATTGGATTAT